AACAATTGGCGAGAAAGCTGTTTTGGCAGCGATCCAACTCACGCCCTTTCACACGCCCTATCGATTGCAGGGATAATGACAATACCACCCTCGGAGTCAGTGACGATCAATTCTATTATTTCTGATAGCTGACCCAGAGGAGGACTCGGTGCTCGAAGCTGACCCACAAGAGGACCTCGGTGCTCGGCGGGTTCAAAGTTGAGTGGGGCAGTCAAGAAATATTTCCCTGATGGTCTGCCCTGACTACAACTGCATTCGACAGTCTCATAGCAGCTCGCACCACCCAAAACTAAAGAAGCTTTACCTGATGCAACTTCAAGGCCATTTTAACAGCCGGTGAAATCACACATCTCAGCAGGTCCATGTCCGCAAACACCCACTCGTCGCGCTGACACGTTATTCTGAAAAAGAAAAACTCAAGTATTTCTTCTATACAAATTTTGGCACAGTTCGGCTTGATGAGGACATCAAATGCTACTCAGCAAAGATTTTTTGGGCAGTTGTGAAGACCTCTGGATTCCTGTGACCAAACTGGCTCGGCATTACCCTTTACTGCCCAAACCATCCAGAATTGAGCCAGTTTGTGATTGACTTTTTTCTCCGTGGGGTATTTTGACCTCCTGAATCCGAATATGACACTCATTTATACGAAACGATGACATTCTCTTAGCCCGAAACCTCCTTGGAGCCTGCGCCAACAGGCGCCGGTAATCTGGGCGTACTTCGCCGCAGCATACTGTAGCGGGCGACCGAAGAGTTTCAGGCCAAGCGGATGTGGTCATTTGGTAATCCGTCTTCAGGAGGTCAGACTACCCCTAACAAACAAGTTTTCAGCGAATTCTCGTGTAGCGTTAAGGGATTTTGCCTGGTTGGCGGCTGGGCCGCCCAGGCAGGTTTCTCGTGCCTAGCAGATGTGATACTCATGTTAAAGAGGTCAAACTACCCAGGGTACAAACTTTCAGCCAGTTCTGCTAAGGCAGAAAAAAGTCGGTCAAAAACTGGCCTGTTTTCGGGTTGGGGCAGTAAAGGGTAAATAGTGCCACTGGCTCTTTTGCACCTTCACAAAACTGTTAGTTAACACGAACTAGCGAAGGAACTAGCGAAAGGGTAAAATGGCCCTCCCAAGCCGAACACGGCCCAAATTTGATGACTGGAAATCGGTGCTGTCTCTAGGCTCTCAACTCTTGCCAGTGCCAAATTATTAAAGCATCTCTAACACGAACCTAAAGTCTCCCTTGAACAACGCGTGAAGACCACAAAGGAACGATTCAGCAGCATTCGAGTGGCGATTGTAGGATGCTGCACCAAGGGCTCGACGACCAAGAAGTGACAGTACAAAGCAGAGACAAGTGACGTACTCCGTGCTTCTTGAATAGACAAGTAATCCTTACATACCAAGGCTATAAGACACCGGGACAACTACAATTCTTCGCCAGCATTCCGTTCTGATCTCTTATTCAAGCAGTGTGTGATCCACATGGAATACCATTCTGAGAAGCTCGACCGTGAAATTCCCTGCAATTTAGTGATCTCACGCTTATTGACAAACAAATACCTACTGGCTCTGTAGGTTAGGCCGGCGCAGTTTAACGAAACGACGGGAGAAGGGGGGGGGGCATTTTGTACTATCATTGCTTCCTCAGTTCCGGTTTACATGTCTCACTCTGGCGAAACCTGTGAACTCTTGTGAAGCTGGAACAAGGTCGTCAAGCCATCATGTTAAAACCTGTCAACTCGAGAAGAGGCTGTCTAGATTGGTCG